TGGCAGAGCCGCCCAATTCCTGGGACCTCTAGTAACCCTCAGCATAAGCCGGGTGAGACAAGGTCGGCTGCAGGCTGTTGCTGTCATTCATTTTCCTCCAAACGCCACCGTTCAGCCCTGTGCTACATCCATTTACGGGCGCGTATAGCTATTTGCTGGATTGTGATCAATACAACATTTGTCTTGCTGCCACATACTGCTCTGAAACGGCAGCTGCTGCAACTTCTGGTTTAAATATTTCTCATTCTCTATCTCGTCATCTCAAGTTTTTCATGAGATATTTGAGTTGGGAGCTGTTTCTTTTTTCCATTTTTTGGCAGCTCGTACTGCTGGCAGGCTTCTCAGCAGAACATCCTGGTTTCTCCCTAGCAAGCAATTTTATCTGGTGGGGGGGTCAGATTAAACATCCAGAAACAGACAGCTTTCACCTGCGGGTTAAGCCTTTGAAGGGATCAGCCAAATTCTGAACGCCGTGTTGAGATTGTTATCGAGACTTTTCTGACTTCCAGGGCACTACCTATCCCGTTACCGTATGAAGTGGAAACAGTCTTGAACCAAGACCTCGAGTTTCTTTAGTTCCCCCTTACAAATGTTGCAATTTTATTCCCACATCAGGATCAAAGATCAGACAGTAAGGAGCCACCAGATGGTGTTGACCCGAGATTCGTTTCTCTGCTCCCATAAGCCCTGATCAAAAGCAGACGTGACACGGCTGTCAAATAACGCTGCCATTCTTGTGGCCACAACATGAGTAAAGAACAAAATTTCCAGGATATCAGTGGGCTTATTGGGTGTTAGTAAATGACTTTTGGGGCTCAGGATACACTTTATTTATGGATGCAGACTTTGGACAAAGATTGAAAAGAAGGATGAAATGAAGTCTGAGGGAAACAATAATCTTGTTTATCACAACTTCAGTTAAATTTTCTGAATTTTTGGCCACCAGTCCTCACAAAACATTATAGCTTTTGGAAACAATCATTCAGGTTTTGATTAAACTTAATTTATTTTGGAAAAAAAAACAAAACATGTAAGCTGTAAAAAGTTTTGCTCAAAATAACATATTCATCATGATTTGCAGACTGACTTTGTGGATCACCTTTGATCAACATTGAGCAACTTAAGATGTGTGATTTCAGGTCAACTTACTTTAGGTGTGAAGCTTCTGTCTAAATGCACATCTTGTTTAATACTTGGACCACAAATTCGGATTTAAAGGCATTTTTTCTGTACAAAATCACCAAAATCCCACCATTTATCAGGGCCAAAAAGTGCAAAAACGAAGAGAATCATCAGGTTTTGAATTCTTCGATGGTCTTTGAACTATGAGTGACATGCCATTCATTTGGGAAACTTAACCAAACCTAAGCTTATAATCATGACTCAAACATAACATATTTTAAAAAATGTGCCAAAAATTAACAATTTGCTCCAATCAGATTCCGTAAAAAACTAAAACTTTTGCGTACTTCATCATAACTGGGATGACATTAGTGACTCAGCTGCAACCAACAGTCAAAAATGTTGGACATTTTCAGCTGAACTGTGGGTTTTGCTCACACAGATTGATTCCAGGTTTTTCATCTTTTGTAAAATAAACAAACAAATAAATTCAGCTTTTCATTTTTTTTTCTTTAAAATGAAGTATTCTAACTTTACTGACTTGATTTTGTCATGAAAGTGGTGTTTTAAGTTTAGTAAGGCCTCTCACGTGTTTGTATTCTTTTTTGACTTAGTTGCAGCAATATTTTCACGTTCCTAGATCTTAGCTATAAATTTGGTTTGTAAAATGTTATCACAACCAATAGGAACGAAATTGCAAAAATAAGACTTCACTAAGACAAAACAGTGATTGTATGGTACTTGATGACTGTCCGTCATTAAGTTGTTGAGAGCTTTGTTACTTTACAGGGAAAAAGTCACTCACACTCAGCTGGTGTCGTTCAAATGATATAGTCAAACTGTCAATCTTCGCTTCGAAAATGGGAGACACTCAATGCTGCACAGCCTCTGATGTTTATCCAGCAATCAAACAATCCATCTGTTAAATCTGCAAAGTCTGGAACCGCTACTCCTGGAAAGTTCGACAGCACGTACAGAAGAAAAATATCTTAAGGGAGAGAAACTGTACGGCAGAACCTAATGAAGGGGAAACCGTGAGAACCATCTTCTCTGCCGCAGTCTGGGAGGGAAATGGTGTGGATGGAGAAGAGGGTGAAAAAACGCATTGACGTGAGCGATAGCGGACAAGGTATGAATACAGTGAGAAAGGCAATTAGTGTCCGCTAATTGCCATCATTAGAAGAGATGGGGTCGACTTAGCAGACTCTTATGATGGACAGTGACAATTCAAACATGAATGTGGACTGCACGGTTTAAAAGTCGCACAGCCGGTAGCTCTTAGTCTGATAGCAGCAGAACTGATAAGACTGGACCCTATCATCAAAACTTCACTCCATCATCTTTCTTACGATTAAAAAAAAAAAAAAAAAGTAGAAATGACTAAAGAGAGTGACACAAAGATGAAGTGATAGAGGAAGGCTGATACAGCAGGAGTAAAGATGAACAAAATGATGGTGCAAGAAGAGAAGAGAGATAAAATAGGTAAAGTAGAAAGACAATTCCCTGTATAATACTTGTTTTAGAGACACCAAAGTTTTATTATTTGTACACTAAATAACTGTGTCTGAGCGTAGTAATACAAGCGCATGTTGTCGCGAAGAGCACACTAACAGAGTAAAACTAATGCGATCCGAGTTTTATCAAATATCCGGCCGGGCTGAAAAGTTTATGGCACTCTATTCTTCATCTTGTCCATCTCGTAATCAGGTTGCTATTGACTCATGAACACATGTGAAGGGAATCCACTTTGAGTGTTTCATGATAGCAGCCGGTTTTCTTTGAGAAAACACTTAGCAGACAGTGTTCCTGAGAAACGGACGCCAACCAAAGGTAAAATAAGAATACAGAGACCACAGCCAGGGCGAAAAGTGGGGAAAAAATGTGATTTTTCTTGCACTTTACAGTAACCTTAAGAAAAATGGATTTTAGGATGTGTGCTTTTAGGACTCAAGAGACGATATCGGTAGACCAAAAGTCTTTAAAGTGAGACTAAAACAGTTTCATCGGTCGCAGTGGTGAGCTTGACTTTTAGCAGGTGTCTGAGTTACTTTTTCACCAACCACATGATGTGTTGCATTGCAGATCTGTGATCATCTGCTCTGTGAGTTGCTGCAGCCGATTCCTCTGCTCCTCTCTGCTGCTCTGGACGCTGTGAGCTCCCTTTGGCTTCACTATTATGCTGCGTTACGGTGCATGACGGGCTGGTGAGATTGAGTCACTGCAGTTTGGTGTTCTATTTTAGGTTATAATAATTTTTTTTGTACACAAGTTTGTGTAGAGTCTCAGTCAAGCTTCAGTGAAAAGCTAGTCCTCTTTTAGTTCTCTAAAGCTGAGGTGAAATGCCTTCAAGAACTTGAAAAGAATTCCAGTTGCTTTCACTGAAGCTACGAGGATTTCTTTGCACAAGCTGGGCACGACACAATAAGCGACATTCATTCACGCTGGTTTTGCTACGTCATTGCTTTTTTGAACTATGTGACTTAACAGTGGCAAAGGTGAATGACAAAGTGCACGTTTTTAAATGTTCTTTATGCACTTTATGGTAATAAGGCTTTCCTTTATTCTCTAAATTGCAGTGGCTTTTTCCATCTCATTTCATACACCAGTAGCATTTTGACTCAGCGGGAGCAGATTGCGGGTATAACCCTGCTATTGGCTGCACATTTAACCTGGCTTTCTCCTCGTCTTCTGCTATCTATGCGGTACCACTTTCAAAATCACCTTTACTATGGGAAACAATAGCAACAGCCTGCAGGTAGCAATCTCAAAGTGAAAAAGTTTTACAAAGGATTGTGACTGAGCAGTAGGGCAGATGAATTAGGCACTTTTGTGGCACTACTTTGCAGGAAGATTGCCACAGCATCCTCAACTTACCCACTGTTACTGGTCGAAAGAAACGCAGACAAGCTTGTGCATTCTTTTCCCCACAATAACAGACTGATCATGAGGTGTAGTGGCTGAATGATCTGGCTATGCACGACTATGCCAGTTGTCAACACAACATCCGAGCAAAGCCTGATGAGGCCTCAGATCACTTTCGGTTTGGGCAGGAGTCAGCAGACTGCTTCGTTCTGGAGGGGTAAGCAATCAGCCCCCAGTATTATAAATACATCGTTGGCCAGTTGGTAATAAGCCCACCACTAGTCCCTGCTGCTAGCTCCACAGCCAGTGTCCGTGCACATTTTCAGCCTTTCTGCACTATTTCCCAGTGGGTAAAGGAGCTGGAGTGGGCTGTTTATTACATGGTGAGTTTTCTTTATAATTTGTTATTGTCAGAAAAACAAAACTTTGGATGCACCTAAATTATGTGCTTAAAAGAAAAAAGATTAGGCGCACCAGTACCAGGAGATGTAAAAAGTCAGTCAAGAGCCCCGTGTGTTTATATTTAACAAGCAGTGGAGAGCAAATTTCACTTTGCACAGAGCAGCCCAAACCACAGAGTAGCATAAAAAGACAAACTATTAGGTCTGGGTGCACCTTAAAGCAGAAGCACTTCTCGCTGTAGGATAGAGAAAAAAAAAAGAAAACCTTGTGGTGTCTGTGTGGTGGAGTGCTGCTGTGCAATAGGGCATGTGCCGACTGAAACGAGATGTAATTAACAAGAATAATATCTGTTCCCTCCTCCAACTTTGAGCAAGAGACGCTGTGATATCTGCTCTGTCCAAAAAAAAAGCTGCGTAATCGTGTCTCATTTTCGGCTGAATCCCTGATTGAGTCGAAGGCGGGGAATTACGATAAAGCTCTCGCTCTCCTAATGAGCACCGAGCGGCCGCGGCAGTTAGGATTCATATGCCGCTGGTTTGACTTCTACACCTGCTGCTCACTCGCAGACTCTCAAGTAACTTAAGCGATCGAAATATAAAATCCTCTTTTCTTTTCTCCGTCTTACCTCTCGATGATGTCAGAGATGGTGCAGGCAAACATCTGCAGGCCCTCTGGAAGCTGCAGAGCGACTGAGAGGGAGGAGAGAAAAAAAAAAGCAAACAGAGAAGTTACATACTTGTGTTAGAGTGATCTCAAAAATGTTATTTAATAAATCCTCGACAGCGCGGCTATACATAGCGGCTGCCGCTGGTTCAGAGTGTTCCACTGACAGCAAACAGTGACATTTCAGGGCAATTTTCCCTCTGCCACGGTCGCACTGCCGGGTTTTTTTTTAGTGAGTGACGGGTTGTTGGAAATATAGTCCAACCCAATAACCACGGGTCTATCTTCACACACGGGTCACACTTTCGCTCTTTTCCGCCTACCCCCCGACTGCAAAGCCAGAATTTATTAAGGGCACAACCGGTCTGGAAATTAAATCTAGCAACCAGTTAACTTGCACCGGGGCCTGCTGAGGCTGTTGTGTGTTGACAGCAGGAGACCCACTGATCTACTGATATGTGACACCAGTCGCCAATTGAAAAACCTTGCTTAGGGCAGCCTTCGCTAAGTGGTTTGTGCCTCGTTTTAGACTCACTCTGCATGTTTTTTTCCCCTCTTTTAATAAACCAACAGAAGGGCCTGGCTGCCTACAAACAGTAAAGTCTGACTCTTTCTCGTATCATGCCTGGAGATTTGCTGCAAATGTAAACACAGAGGCCGACATGCAACACTCTCCACCTCTGGAAAAAGCAGATCCGACAGAAACACCGTGGCGGGCCAGCAAATTTAACAACTCTCAATAATAAGGCCTGTGTCAGCTCACTACAAACAAGTGTGAAGGGGATCGGAAATTGGCAGCGCAAATGAAAATTCCCGTGAGCTTTTGACAAGAAAAGTTATCAGTAGAAGGAAACACAAACCCAATACAAATGTTAAAATACATCTATCTGGGTGATGGTTTCATTCTGCAAGACATCGAGCACATCTGACTGGGGTTTCAAAGCACAAACACCGTCTAAAACATTCTCAATCAGCTTCTGTTACCAAACTAACCAACCACTGACAGCTAGACTTTATAGAAAAGTAACAGAGGTGGACAAAATCCTGTGTTGTGTCTTATTTTGGTTCAGTGGTTGCAGGGCAAATATCCCCAGCTCTCTTTGGAATTTAAACCTAAATGTCATTTGGGGATTTCTTGACAAATGCATCCTGTGGTTCTTAGCATTAAATATCCTATTTGATTTGGTATATCAAGAATGCTCTGGTATACATTAAGCGTTCCACCTCATCATGAAATAAACATGATGACATCTTGGCATCGGAGATTACTCAGATATTGATGATGCAAAGTATAACCCCTCGAGGAATACAAGAAAAGGCGCCGGAGCATGAAGTGCATGGGAGCAAAACGACAAGCGTGGCTGAGATTAGCGGGGAGCGCGAATGTGGAGCTCTGGAATCACACAATCCATTATATCTTCTCAATTTTTTACTTTGTTTCTCATTTCTGAAGGTTAAAAATGCACAACAACCAAATCGGGATGCAGCTAATGAGAATGTGATTAGTTTTAGGAAAGGATGGAAAACGTACAAGGCAATGTTCCTGAGCCCTACGTGACATGTTTAAAGTTCTTGTGTCATATGTTTAGCTATCCAAAACTCAAAAAGTCACAGTATTCAGGGATATAAAACAGAGAAAAGCAGAACATTTGATAGGCTGACAGTGACAATTTTGCTAGATAAATGATGCAGACAAGCAATTATCAAAAAATACTTAGCAATTACATTTCTGTTAATTGGTAAATCCAGTAATTGGTTATTTTAGCCTGGCAAGAGAAAAATACTATTTCAGTTATGCAACAAGTGCCAAAAATAATAAGTAATGGATCATCTAAATTATGAAAAATCATTCTTTTCTCATCATGATATGTCAATATACTCACAAGCAAACAATTAGATTTTTGGTGCAGAGGACTAAAATATGAACAGTGATAAACGTTGAGAGACAATAAATAAAGTTTGAAAAAGACTTTGTCAACATCATATTGGGTTGAAGACTTTTTTAATAAACCAGAATGCAGTTTACTTGATTTGAATGTCTGTTTTTATAGAGCAAAACCAAAGGGATGTGTTGTTCAGCGCTTTTGCTGTTTGGGATTATATTAGACCGCACTGTTGGTGTACCAGCAATCCCTCCTGTCAGCAGATCTCTCTTTTCCCATTTATTATCATTTGTGAACTTCAGTCTCGCAAACATGCATGCACGAGGTTTGGACAGTTCTGTGTGAAGTCTCCGCCGCCGGGTCTGACACATTGAGCGAGCACCTGGGGACAAAGGCTTTGTTTCAATCAACCATGACATTTTCTCCCAGTCAAACTCTGTCACACCTTACTTCAATAAATCCATCAACGTCTCGTTGGACACTTACAATTCGAAAACAGTGAATTCAGCGCACGTCTTCACATGACTAGGCCTGAAACAATTTTCGAGACTTCAGTGGCAGACGGCATTAAACACTAAAAGCTGGGACAGACAAAAGGCCAAGGAGGTTGAGGGGAGGATGGTCATGAGATGGAGTGATAGACGGAGCGCTGCTAAGAGGAGGAGCGAGACCACTTCTTATTGATGAAAGGTTAAGGGATCACCAAGCGCTCATGCAGAAAGTGAGAGACAGGTCATTACCTAGAAAAGGGCAAGTTTATTAACAGAGAAAGGTTTCAGAGCACACCTCTGCAACAGCTGACAGAAGCAAAGAGCTTTCTTCCATCTGCTGCCCCCAGTGAAAGGTGAGTCAGTTGCTGAAGGTGGGGATGCATGTTTGAGTTTGCACGCGAGGTAACGCGGAGCCCTGCCACGACATTAAACGAGGTAAAATGAACGCTTCATACAGACACGTCGCTTAACGTGGACCACTGTGGCACAACTTTCTCTATGTGCAGCGAAGAAAAGTTTGGGTTTATACACAAACTGTCGATTACCAATCATGTAATTTTGTTGACATGCCCATTGTTGCAACACCATTGGCTGCACAGACAGCTACAAGTGGGATTATGTTAACAATGGAAGAGAAGAGGTAAACTAAGAAAGTGAGGCAAAGACCAATTTATAAGGGAACGGAAGACTGACTGGACAAAGCCAAGGGATTACTCAGAGTTTTCCTACAGGTGGTTAGGGTTTAAAGATGAGAA